AGAAACATTCCAACTAGAATTGAACGCAACGTTGTTTTTCTGTGTCAGAAATGTGCGCTGGTTGCTGCCCTAGCTCAGCCTTAGATAGATGGGACAGCAGCGCTGTTCGGCTTGGGAGGGGCGCCTTACACTTTCGCTAGCGCCCTTTGCTATCATGTTAATTAATAGGTAACACTTTGGTGAAAGCTGTAAACTCCCATGAAACGGTAGAATGATATGTAGTGAGCCACTGTGGTGAGAAGAATTTAACAGACCTTCACAAAATGGTCTCAAATAACTTAGCCAATAAACCAGGGAGAGCGTCCGAAGTGTTCCTTGTAACGGACCTGGTGTCATGACGGATAGCGCACTCTGCCAGGAAGCGTGAGGTGCGGCTCCAAGTCCCGCCTGGGGTCAAGTTTTGGTCATAACACAGCATTGTTGAGATAACTTCCAGAGCGCAAAATGCTGCGTTGAACAGCAATCATCATAATAAAACAAGTCCCTCACATTAAAACGAGAATATTTTGAAACTGCAAAGCAAAACAGCAAACATGAATGCAAATTCTTTATCTAAATATAGTGATTTGAATCATGCAATATAATGCACAAATTAAGTGCAGATAGTTGGTTCAAGGGGAGTTGTCTGTTGAAGGACCTGTAAAATAATACATGTAACTTTGTGCTACTAACAAACTTCACAAACTAACAAACTAACAAATTTCGGAACGTTTTCACATAATTCAATGTCAAACTCCATATATGAGAGGAACAAGGGATGTAATTCGTACTTGCGAGCGCGGCGATGGCTGCGAGATTAAATGCAGAGGAGAGGCAGATACTTATGTATAGGTGAAGATAACCAGCACGAGATCCGTAGCCGTCGCCGGGCTCGCAACCATGTGCTTGGAAACGCTGCTTTTGCTCATCGGTATGGACTGTAGCTAGGTTTCGAATGTTGGTTATGCTCAAACCACCCACAAAATGTTAAATCGTAGCATATGTTCCCATCACTTTTGGAATTTGTTTGGATTCAGCACAGTTTTTGAAGTTTTGCCAAGCAAAAATAGTCAAAAACCGTTTCCTCCTTCGTAAAACTGTTGCTACCGTTTTTTCGAAACCGCCTAGTTTACTCGGCTACAAAGCGTTGATATGAAACCTGCAGCTGGTCAGGAAACACACGCTTTATTTGCGCTTTGTCGAAATCAAGATGGAAATGCGAGGTCTTCAGAAGAGCCCTATTAACCGAGCGTATTGCGAAGAATTAGTTTGCTCAACTGAAATCTGCTCAGTCTTGGAAGCGAACGTTCACGGGCCAGTCTTGGAAAGCGGGCCATCGGATTGGGGAGCGCTTTCGAAGGATGGCCCATGAACGTTCGCCCATTTTTCCAAATTCAGAAGGGGAGTGGTAGTAAAAATATACACTACAGCATAACCTTTGCAGGCAAACTCAACAACGTACTTTCATCAAATCGTTACTGTTCAAATCGTTTGTACTCCATACAATCAGGAGGTTTGACTTCTGTTCGCTTCTTGCGGATCTCTTCCCAATTCGTTGACAATACCGTACCGCCCGATTCTCTTAAATCAGAAGTGTTAGAGAAAATGTCAAAGACATGAAGAGTTACAATGAAATACCTACTGGTAACTTTTGATCATAGCTTTCTTTACGTCATCGGACGCTTCACTGTACAACTTTCGGAATAGGCGATTTACCGCTGCATCACCTTCCAAATCTTCGTTCTCTTCTTCTTGTATGGCAGTCTGGAAAATGTTCAGTTCGAGGTTAGCAACACCCCATTGCTACAGGAATTATCTTATTTGAGTAAGATATTGCGAAATTCGAAAGACAAA